TTTTTTATATCCTTTACAACCCAAACAATCAAAAATGTTTTTTTCTGGTGACAAATGTTTTTTTTTAAATTAAAGGCTCATATTTTTGTTTTAATGAATTGATGTTTCCTTAAAATGATTTTTTCCTTGTACTGAAAATGCTCTTCGCGATTCAAATTTCAGTTGAAAGATACAATATTTTAGACTACGTTTTTTTTGTTTTATAATAAAGGAATACAGACGTAAAATATGAAATTTTAATTATTTATATAAATACCTCAGTTGATGTAGTATTTTAAGTACTTGTTAAATTTACGTTTTACAATTTGATGAGATTAAATGATGGATTAAAAGTAGGGGTAATGCTGAATTTATCCCTTCGTAAAAACATGAAAAAACAAAAACGCGAAGTAAAGTTGAAGAAAAAAAGACATTTTTTTACATAACTTAATTAAAACCCCATCACACCTACAAAAATTCGTTGGGGTGCAAAGGTTCTGAGATCAGAGACACGGCTTGCTGAAAAAAATGCCCTTTTTGCAATTTTAGAGCTTTTTCAATGGATTAAAAATTTTTTTGATAAAAACAATTTAATAATATCCTGTTAAAAATGTATCCATATAAAGATTAGAAAATCACTTCGGATAATTTAGAACACCCAGGAAAGAAATTGATTTGTAATGAAAGAAAAGTAAAACATGTGAAAATTATATTAAAATATTTGTTTAATATATTGTACGATGTATTAGAAAAGAGAGAGATATTCTTTAATTACTATATGATAATATTTTTTTACTATGATTTACTCATATCATTACTAGATAATGGGAAAGGCAGGTCCTAAAAGTCAGAAAATCCTCTCTTAAGTAGTAGATGATTGAAATAATGATTGGGATCACAAAGAAAAGTGTTAAAACCTTATACCAATCATGATAACTCATTTATATAGCGTTTCATAAAAAATGTACCAATATCAATTGAGCATAGATAACACAGATACATAGATATATAATTTATATACATAAATTATAAATAGTATGAGGAATGAATACCAATACTTCAGTTAATCTTAAGCGTTGTTTTCGTAAGTTATAAACATGAATATATTGATTGAGCCCAAAAGTTACCCATTTTTCTTCAGAAAAACTGTAAAAATTATATGTACTCTTTATATTATTACAGTTTTTAAATTAGCACGAAATGCTAATGCTGATGGTTATAAATGAAATTTTAAAACCATCTCTCAGTAGTGTTTTATTATCTTATGCACAGTTATTATTATTGCTATTATCCACTGAGCTTTTTTATTATTAAAACTCTCTCTTTCTAGTTTGAAGTTTTTAACTACAGCTCTTTTAATAATATGATTTTAATTACTAAAAGTAATTTTTTGAAAATATTTCCTGAGGATTTAATTTTTCATAAATGACTTACTGCTAAGCATTCAATTTTAAGAATAGCGAAGAAAATAATACATTTTAGGCAGAACTTACTCTCTTTTGTATTTGCAGTGAATCTAAAATTTCTTTTTATAAATTTCAAAGAAGCTTTTCTATTTATTATCTTGCTGTGATACATTGTATTCGTGAGTGCAACTTCATGGAACTTACTCGTAATCCAAGACATCAATCAAATCCCTTTTATGGCAGGTGCGCTTTTGCAGTCTTGGCATAAAATAAACCAGTCCTTATTGTTCCAATGATAAATCGAATTCTTTTTGAAATACCTTTTCTAAGGAAAGAGACAAAAAATATTTTTTTTTAAAAAAAGAAGATACCATTAGAACAACAGAGAGGTTTTGGAAAACAAGCTACTCTCCATTTTAATAGGTTTGTGCATTTTAATATAACAGATAGGAAAAATTTTCAATTATATTTATATCCACAGAGGAGATAAATGTTTCAAAGTTTGCACCGAGCAGTGATTTATATCATTCAAAGGAAATTGCATTGAGGAAAGGTTACACAAATTTTGAAGCAGTCTAGTGAAACTACACCCAAATACCAAAAATAATGGAATAGCAATGTGTGCAAACATCTAGATTGCAGAAACATCACTTAAGAAATGTACTCGTATAATTGAGCAATGCACCATCCTAACTTTATTCGGTGCTAAAGTGATTAATTCAAAATGCTTTTGGACATGATTATGGCCGTATATTAACCCAAAAAGTATTTGTACACTTGCAATTTTCTAAAAATGTAATGTCTTTGACTAACAAAATTAATACATAGGCATTCTAATTTTTCTTAATAATGTCTGCCACTTGTTCTTATGGGAATAGCATAAACAATTTTTTAAACATAGTATAACTTTTATTTTGGAAACTTTATAATCAAAAAAACTACTAAAAAAATACGTTATAAAAGTCTTCGAACTATTAAAAAAATTTCAGCATATTTTTAAGTATTGTATTTTTTTCTTAATTTTGTACTTAGTAGGATATCGTTTACCTCCACAACAATTTTTAAGCATCTGAGTTTAGATTTCATCAGTGTTTCAGTGTTTTTGTAATTTCTGCATCTATGTTTCTTCATTCTTCTGTGATTATTGTTTTTAGTTCACACTTTGTTTTTTATGTCATGGCTTCTTACTCTCGATATTTATCGAGTGAGTGAGTGAATATTAACGTCGCACTGTTCAGCTACACGAGGGCTTTTGGTGACGGACCGCGTCATTTTGAACCATGGTCAAATGACGAAGACGACACCTGTGTGTGTGTGTGTGTGAGCTGGCCCTCCCTCTTCCTAACTACCACACTAATTGGAGGACGTTTCAGCTCTTTGCAGATTTAACATGCATCGCTCCCCTACACGGCGGGTCTTTAGTGGTACTAGGCTCGAACTCGTGACAGGCCAGCCACGATCCTATACCTTGGCCTTTAGGCTACCGCGGCCACTGCCAATGACATTAATCCCTTGACATATATGACGTCATTCATTTCATTTGCCATTATAGATTTTAACACAATCGAAATGTCAAGAACTGTTTCCGATGGATCTCCTCAATTTCTAGGAAAATGCGCATCATTTTATTGCTATTTGTATGAAAAGGGGTTAAAATTAATATATACATTGCTGATTTATATCATCATTTTATATATTTCCAACACATTCATTATTATTATTATTATTTTCCTCATCATGTATCGATTTATGCATTATTTACGCACACATAAATCATTTAATTTTTTAAAAATCCTAACAATAAATTCCCGTTTCTTAATTTATTCAAGAACAAACAACTTTAAGTCTAACTATAAACGACTATATATCGGGAATTTTGCTATAGTTTCTGGGTTAAGACACATATTAATAACTATTTTAATGATTTCATGAATTTTATACGATGATCACTATAATAAATGAAAATAGATGTTCCTACTCTACACTCCCATGTCATTAAAATCCTTAAAAAATAAATTAATTGAGAACTTGGAGAGTTGATAGTCAAATCCTAATGTGCCTTACCTAATTATCTAAAACTAATTTAAATACTAATCCCCACTAATATTACGTTATCAATTCATAACAAGCCATATCATGCTTATTTGCTATTTACACCATTTACTAAGCAAATTCGAATGATTATTTTTTTTATTCTTCCTTGTAGTTTTCTTGTACAATATTTTCTATGAATCTTTTACATGACTTGGCTTTTTAAAACTATGAGGTCCTGCTCAAGAAAGTCTTTTAAAGACTTGTCTTCTCTGGTAAAAAAAGTAAAAAGATTTTAATCAGTAAACACTGAGAGCAAGTATGGGGTCATTTCCAAGGGGTACCTGATTTGCTTTAAATCTTTTAGAATGATCTCGGTCTCCTTAGGCATTCCTCTAATAACTGTTTATCGAGCAATGACTAATATAGATCTAGCCACATATTAAAAAAATTCTTCAAGTGGGTGTCGGATATTTAGTCTATCCATATGCGTTAATTGAAGCTAAAACGCATAAAAATTAATACGGATGGCAGCACGATACCTTTTTTGCATTTCATGTCCTCTGATGGGTAGTTAAAAATAGTTTTTCTCGATGTAAATCTATAAAGTGTATTTTGATTACTATAAATAAAATTTCTGATCTTTGAAAAAAATTTCGACATGTCTTAAGTATACTTTTCTCTCATCTGAACTGAATGAATTAAGAAATTGTACAATTAAAAAAATATTTTAAGTAGGTTTTTGGAAAACTTTTATGTGTGGATAGAGGCTCTATCCACTGCCTACATAGAACAGAAAAATGACCAATTTCCTGTACTCAAGAGAAAGCTCTTAGAATCACGTGAGAATCTTGGGGTTTGGAAATAAAAATAAACTTTGTTTACAATATGTGGTACAAGATTCTCGGGTTCGAAAATATTTCATTAAGCTTTTCTGGTCGGAGAAAACGTTTGCATTTTATAAAGTTCCACAGTAAATAGCTCATCAAATTTGTGAAATAACTAATTTGATTCCTCAAAAGTATTACTCCATTTCTAACCTTTTATACTAAAATTAAATAAAATATAAACTGTGGATAGATACTAATTTAAATGTATATATTCTAATTACCCTACGTATGTTTTAAGTAAGTATTATATGTTGTACAATTATTCTATTATTGTTTTATTGCATTTCTATTTTGTATTTAATTGTTATTTAAATAATTATTATCATAAATGTTAATTTTTCATAAAAAAGCTTATGGTAAAATGATTCATTTTTTCGGTCCTGAAATGAAAGTTAAATGTTGTAAATGCGCAGTGGCTATAACGTCTAGCCACCACCCAGAAATAAAACCAATGATGAAATAATTTTTTGTGAATAAATAATGTGTTTATAGAGGATGAGAACATTACATTTATCAAGTACTTTATCACAGAAAGGCGTATTTTAGCTTTGTGCCCTTAAAGAAATAATTCTCGTACAGCTTCGAACTGTGACGTTAAAACCTTCGATCAAATAATCGAAAATATTTCATGATTTTGCAATATTTTTCATTTACGTTTGCCATAAGTTTTTCACTCTTACAAAAATGCAGTCTTATCCAGAAGTGGGAATCAAACCCACGCTCACCAAATGTGAATTAGAAATCTACTATTCGCCGTTCTCTCTGTCCACATATTGCACAGTTTAGTGTCGTGAAACATTCTCGCAAGGATAAGGTTCATACGTATATTTAATACAAGTACAATGCGAACCTATTCAGGATACATAACGAACTAATACACCTTTAACTTTAATTAATAATAGCCATCTAACTAAGAAAACATGCTGACAGATCTGTATAGAACAAAGAAGCGACGATTATAATGAGTCTAATGCCATAACAACTCGGCCATTGTGGACACGTCCCGAAGATCTCAATTACTTTGTGAGTATATTTAATTTTATGTAAGGGAAGTGAGTGAGTGAATATATTGACCTCACACTATCAGCTATATATTCGAGGGCCTTTTATGTATGGGGAAGATAGAGGCATATATTCTGATATTTTCTATAGTCTTCTTTTCAAGTCTACGCAAGAAGGCCATAGTATAATCGCAACGACTCTGTAAAATGCTGAAAAGCAGTTTCAATAGTTTGAAAAAAATTTATTATATATATTCTTTTAATATTTCTCGAATTTTCAGTTCATTCTTAGTTATTATGTAGTGTAACTTTAATCTTACGCTGTCTTCTTTCTTATTTTGCAATATATTTTGCCTGATTTTGTTAGTATACAAAATTTTTCACAGTAAAACATTAACATAATAATTTTTTAATCAAAGTATTTTCCTCAAATACATCATAAACTTAATATTATATCCTTAATGTAAAAATTAAAAACAATTTTAATTTATATAATAAATGAAAGGGAATTTTTATTCCTATTTTGTGACTTTATTTCAAGAAGAAATCATGTTTAATAAAGAAATGTTACAATTTCAAATTCAGTAAACCATTCCATGTTTACCGAAAACCGAATATTAGGTAAGTAGGATGTCATTTGACAAAGAGGGATTCAAAGCCTTTCTGGTGGTCGATATATTATTACTGTGCAATTTTAAGTATTTGGCAATTGAAAAAAATTAAAACGAATGCTATATTACCATTTTTATTTTGACCTGATTGATTAAAATGCTTACAACTTTTTAAAAACTATAAAATATCTGTGAAAAGAACCAAAATGTTTATAAAATTGATGTTTTTGCTCTACTATAATTTTTTCTTTAGTTTATAAAAAGGTCAATCCCATTACCACATTTGGTTCCACAATAAAATATTGCAATCATTTTACATTTCAATTATCGAGCATTGTAGAATTTAAGAGACCCCCCCAATATTTTACGTCTTTATTTCAAATTAATTTGAAATTTTGCCAATAGTACTTGCATGTGGGAAATACTTAACTTTCTCTTCTTTTTGATTTAAAGAAAAATAAAGTTGGTTTTACCCCAGACCTTACCCAACATTTAGGTAGGAACTAATTTTTAGTTCCTAGTTTTGTTTTACATGATTTCGAAGACAAATTGTTTTCTTAAATAAGTGGTATGTTTCTTTAAAAAATTGAAGGAAAATGCAGAAAAGAAAGAAATGAAGAATGTAGAAGGGAAAAAGGAAATAAACAAGTCATATAAAATATTTCACGGGCTTTTGGACTCATTTTTTATATCAGATGTATATCATAGTGATACAGATTTGCATTCTCAATTGGTTAGTGTAGGAATTTGCCTGAGAGATGCGTGAAGGCTTTTAGTGACGACACTCTTAATTTTGAAAAACGCTGAAATTACATTTGAAGTACAGTATCTTAGTTTCCAAACTTCCAAATTGTACTACACTAGAATTGAATTATCTACTCCATTACTTCTCAAACTTTAAATATTTGGGACCCAATATTCAATCATGATTTTCATCGCGCCTTCCTCCATACAATAACACTGTATTAAAATCAATAATACTATACTTTATAATGCTAAAGATACATTACGACTTCATAATCTTAAGTTATACCGGCGTTCTACAAAGCGTTAATTGCTCCGGTCGCATATATACGTCTTTCGAAGTACGATCTTTTCTGTGCACTGCTATCCATAAAATTATTTCGAAGACTTTGGAATGTAATAAAAGAATCTTGACAATGCTTGCGAAGGATTCAATTATTTCGGAGAATTTGCTGATTTATTCCTTTTCTTGCCCCCCTCTCATACACCACACATACGCGCCTACCAGGAAAACGGTGGAATTGGGGAGTGAATCACGTAATTTTTAACCGGTAGTTAAGGGATTAATTACAAACCGTACAAATGATCAAAATAAGTGTTAATTGTTGTATATAATTTTACATATGACAAGCCCATGGGGTTACTTGTAATTATTAAGCTTATTTTTAACTTTGTATTGTTAAATTAAATATAAAATACATTGCACAGTGCCAAAACATTTATACGTGTATTATATTGGTGTAAATGTGTACTTTCAGTAAATTAATAATGTTTTATTTGTTTACTTTCAGTAAATTAATAATGTTCTGAAATAATCTTTAGTTTTCGACTTTTCAATAGGCTCGTGACCCCCTAGGGGGCGTGTCTCATAGTGTGAGAAACGCTGATCGACCCCTTTGAACTTGCAAACCTTTTGATTGTTCCATTAGGAATATATCTAACTGAACGAGGATGTTTTTTCAAGTCCAAGCTGAAGCGTGGTTCATGACCTTCACCACTTGATCAAGGGTTTGCATATAATCTTAAAAAAGAGAATCTAATGGGATCACTAGTTTAACAATTTAATCTTGGCAGAAAACAGTTTAATTCATTTATGCTGAATTTCAGTTACAATTATTGAGTACTAAATTTACCAATACGATAGTAATTTTACATTTACAGAAAATGCATAAATAATTCCCAATTTTAATAATTTTTTTTGAAAGAGTGAAATGTTGCCATCTGCAGATTGTAAAGGAACAAAATCTCTTTTTAAAAGCAAAGAATGAAAAAAAAAAGAATTTTTTTTTGCATCTCGAGTATTTAACTCGGCTATATTAATTTGTCTCAAGAAAATAAAAATCTAAAATCTTAATATACAACACCATTAGTATTGTAATTATTTGTAACGTATATACATTTTCTAATAAGTATCACTAAAAAACAACGTCGTTTCTGAATTCATTGAAAAAAAATATTTACAAAGCCTTTTCAGACAGAGAATGTTTATTAAGTGGTTTTGAAAAATGCATATTGTTTTTTATCACTTTTCTTAGAAAGTTCCAGACTATATGTAAATAGAGATCTGTGTCTGGGTAAAAACATGGTAAATTCATATTCAAATACAGCAGAAAAAATAACTATTTGAAAGCTTTTTAGATAATATGTAGTTACATTGCTAAGTGAAGTATGCATTTTGTACGACAACAATTTTTCGATGTCTGTCCCTGGTTTAACGTTAATATGAATAAGAAAAAAAATATGCTTTGCTTAAGCGAAAAGAAAACTCAAGATGCACGCAAATGGAAAAGAAAAGAAAAGAAGAGAGAGAGAGAGAGAAAAGAAAAGAAAAGTAAAAAGTTTTTCTGAATTCTTTTATTTATAAATATGGTTGAAAGTCATAAGAAATTATTGTGTGGAAAATATTTTAAACAATTCTTATCTCGTTAAGTGTTTGTTACTTTTACTCAATTTAATCTTTCTATTCATTCCTGATCATTTTTTGGATGGAAAAAAATTCCAATTTGAAAAAGTGTTTTTTTTTTTTTTTTTTTTTTATATAAAAGTTTATATTTATGAAAGAGCAATAATTTTTGTTGAGTTTTTTTTAATCATTATTCATAAAATATTAGAAGAATACAACAGGAATTTCAAATATTATGCTGTCAATATGACTATCATTATATATATTTTTGAATATGCTTATTAATGTAATTTTAATAAAATTTTGTTCTCCTTATACTTGCGTGATTTTTACTTATTATTTTTAAAAATCACAGCAAAGACATTTTGATATAAGCTCACGACTAAAAAGAAAAGGAATATTTAATACCTCAAAACAAGTATATAAGGATACACAGATGATCTTTATACGAACTAAATTCACGTTAAATGTGTATTATAGATTTGTAACTGAGTGAGTGAGTGGAAATTAATGTCGTAGTATAAGCTAGGCTAAGTATATTGGCAATGTACTTCATAATTTTCAACCTCGGTCAAATGAAGAGGATGACGCTTCAGCCGGCGCCATATTTTCTAACTTTAAGTCAACAAAGTTAACTTAACAACTTTAAGTTAACAAAACAAACGTGAAACCTTTGAGCCTTAACAGATTTAATGGGCACCAAGTCAAGAACACAGCGAATATTCTTCATAAAGGGTGTTTCTTTCAGAGGTATAGAACTTTAAATTGCAATAAAACAACGATGTATTATTCGATTGACATAAATTTTTTTTATTCCAAAGATAATCTTGTGGCATTACATTTTAAATATGATTTCTGACATAGGACTGCCACGGCTGGCTCGGATGTAGTCCAATCTGGTCGTCCAATTTTCGATGACTTTTTCCAACATTTGTGGCCGTATATCGGGAATAACACGGTGAATGTTGTCTTCCAAATGGTCAAGCGTTTGTGGCTTATCCGCATAGACCAATGACTTTACATAGCCCCACAGAAAATAGTCTAGCGGTGTTAAATCACAAGATCTTGGAGGCCAATTCACAGGTCCAAAACGTGAAATTAGGCGGTCACCAAACGTGTCTTTCAATAAATAGATTGTGGCACGAGCTGTGTGACATGTTGCGCCGTCTTGTTGGAACCACAGCTCCTGGACATCATGATTGTTCAATTCAGGAATGAAAAAGTTAGTAATCATGGCTCTATACCGATCACGGTTGACTGTAACGTTGTGGCCATTATCGTTTTTGAAGAAGTACGGACCAATGATTCCACCAGCCCATAAATCGCATTAAACAGTCAGTTTTTCTGGATGTAACGGTGTTTCGACATACACTTGTGGATTAGCTTCTCTCCAAATGCGGCAGTTTTGTTTGTTGACGTAGCCATTCAACCAGACGTGCGCTTCATCGCTAAACAAAATTCGCTTATGAAAATCGGAAACAACGGCAATCTCGTTTTGGGTCCATTCGACGAATCTACGCCTTGCTTGATGATCGTTTTGATGAATTGCCTAATCAAACTGAGAATAAATCACTTGACAGCTGTTAAATCGGTCGCCATCTTAGAAAGTAATGCCAATTTAAACTTCTATACCTGGAAAAAAAACACTCTTTATTTTTGACAAAATGTGTTTTATCTATTGAAAGTAACCATGAGATGCAGAAAGAAAGCAGAAGCAAAAGTATGAAAACGTTGAAAA